CCCCCCCCCCCCCGCTCATTCCTCCTTTCCCCCCCGAAAATTGTACCCCGCTTCCGTGTGTGCGTGAATTTCGCAGAGCCTGCTGGGAAGCACGGAACGCATCGTCCAAGAGATCGACTCGGTGGAGTACGGGCTCACGGACATCCAGGAGTACTACGCTAATACGGGTGCGCTCAAGAAGGCCGCGGAGAGCCGGCAAGCCAAGGACGCCGACCCTGATGGGCAGCAGCTGGCGAAGAGAGTGGGCGTGAGTGTCGTGGAGGCCTACGGGAAGGAGGTTGCCCCCAGGGAGCTGGAGGCTACGCTGAGGATCGAGTACCGGAGCAAGCTCCTGAATCCTAAGTGGGCGGAGGCTATGTCCAACCAGGTGAGGTGAATTCAGGTGATTTGCTGGTGGTGCGAGCCGCCGCACACGGTTGGGAAGGAGACGCTAGGGTGGATGGCCGTGTGTACGTCCATGTGCATGGCTGATGTACTTCCATGTCCATGGCTGATATACGTCCATTTCCATGGGTGATGTAGATCGGGCAGATACTGTGTGTTGCTCATGTACATGCCAACCAGTCCATTTGATTCACGCAACACCTGGCAGGAGCTGACCGAAACACGCGAAGTGCCAGATACCTGCCAGATGAGTTTGAGGTTCCGCTTCGATCCGACGCCGTGAAGCGCAGGCCTCGCCCTCTTATTTTCAATTCATGGCGCAGTTTGAAAAAAGGCAGTAGGCCATACCTTCCCCCCAACATCCTAACCCGAGACACACGCCTCGCAAGCCACAGCAAAGCTTGTAGAGTCAGTCCCATAAAAAAAAGTGCGGCAAAGCTCTCCCCTCACAGTCTCTGTTTCCATGTACAAACGGCGGCCCGTTTTGATTTCCCTGACCCCCGCCTTTGCGCCTGCTCGCTTGCTGCAACCGAGGCAGGGCAGCGGAGGGGCGTACGAAATTTCTCAGCGAATGACTGCTCTGATTGGCTGGTCGGGAACCAGCGGGTTCACGGATGAGTGGGTCTACGACGGCGCGGCTGACACGTGAGACTGGACGCGAAACCCACGCACTATCACAAAACACAATAGAAACTTTGACTGTGGTTAGTTCCCGAACGGGTAGTCCTTCTGTGTTTTTATGTATATGGTCTACAAAGTGCCGCTTTGGGCGGTTCATTTGGAGCCGTAGCGGAAACACCACGGCGCTTTCGTTCAGGTCCCCGTTGTTGCTCGGCCGGTGCCGGACGTTTTTGTCGCTCATCATGATTTGTGTCTTGCAGCGGTGGCACCTGTAGAGCAACTTGGTTGTAGGTGTATTTTGAGACCGGTGATCCGGACGAAATGGAAGCAAGCCACGCGACCGTTATGACGCGACAAATGTCGGCCTCCCACCTCTGTCGACACGAGCGTAAGTTGGGTTATCATTTTGACCCTACAGTGCAATAGATGTCATCACACTCTCTCACGCTCCCGCCCCCGTCCATGCGCAACCAACCGCCTCTCTCTCTCTCTGGACTGCCCACAGGTATGCCCTCGACGACGACATGGCGGCAAAGCTAAGGAAGGCCAACCCGGAAGCTTACCAGAACATCCTCAAGCGCATGCTGGAGGCGAAGGGGAGGGGCTTCTGGTCGCCAGAGGACGACGTATTGCAGCGCATCCAGCAGCAGTACGCGGACGTCGAAGATGACATCGAGCTCGGAACAGGAGGTGAGCGCGGTCACCGTTTCAGATGTGGGAAGGCAGTTGGGAGCTGGTATTATAGTTGTCAGGGGTTACCCCTGTTGTGAAAGCCTTCTTCTTACCTGTGGTAGCAAACGAGAACAAGCTTGTCTGAAAAAAATGCCGTGGAGATGGCGTCTCGACAATATCTAGATGGAGGACGATTGGTTCCTTTTTTTTCACGGACGCGTGGGAATCATGTACATTGTATGTATGTCAGGTTTGCAATAGTGCCATCGATTTGAGGGTGGGGTGTTTGTTGAGAAACCAATGCAGCCTCTCAGGCTCTTTCGCGCGGCCGTGTTGTTTGATTGAACGTGTACCTCAACCTTCTGTGTCGTCTTGCCCTGCTGCTGCTGCTGCTGCTGCTGCTGCTGCTGCTGCTGCTGCGACTATTGCACCTATTGCACCGCGTTTTTTCCCCAGGGTTCCTCGACATGCAAGGCCAGCAACAATCGGACGCGAACTGACATGCAAGGCCACGCAAGCAGTGGAATTCCCACAACGTGCATGACTACCCAACCCCCACCGCGCGCGCCGCCCCGGTTATTGTAGCCAGGCATGCCGCTAGACGCCGCTATTCAACCGCCTGTCATGGTGACGAGTTACTGCATTGGTTCCCTGATGTTTTTTGTCGTTGTAAGTTGCTGTGCTCTGATTGGGCCGTGGTGGATGGGGTTGTGGGGGGTGGGTTGTGCATCGCATGCCCACCACCGTCGCACATCCTTGACCCTTACGCTTACCGTTACAGTATTATAGCTGATTTTCGAGGTAACGTCGATCCTGGCCAGCCGTTTGTATGTATTAAGAGTTTTGAATTGCGGTGAAGCTGGGTACATGTTGGCGGCACGAGGCGGTTAACCCTAAGCGTACGTCATCCTTGTTTTGCGTGTTGATTTCGATCGAGTCACCTAGCGCCCACGCCTAGGGTGAAAGCGCTGCGTTTCGGGCCTGCGCTGGGTGCAGAGGAGTGAATCAAGTCGAAATTGTGGCGTGTGTGTGTGTTGCAGCGATTCTCTTCACTTGCGTGTTGCGCTTGCTCGTGGCACCACTTAGTGTGTGCTTTCTAGAGTACGAGAACCAGGCGGGCTTGCTTTATTTGCGAACCAGGCAGCAGCAACCGTTTACACTTGTTCTTCTCGGTGGCATGGGAGATATGGGAGATATGGGAGATGTGTGTGTATGGTTCACAGAAAATATATGTGTACGTTAAGAGATGTAAGAGAATTCCTGCTGTAAAACAGTGAACAACACGTCGCCAGAAGTGATGCGCTGCGGCCCAGGATATGCGTGCCACGGATCTGTTGTGTGAAGTTATCTGCGGGGTATGGTAAGCATGTGATTTCTTTTTTGTTGGGGGCTCTCCTCTTTTTCCGGTGTATGGTCTGGTTCCTTACTATGTCATATGCATTGGATTGTGTACCCTTTGTGGGTAGTTGGCCTGTGACCACGGGAGGCGTCCGAATCAATTGGACCACCAGTGGTACGGATGTAAGAAGGCACCGGGCAGAGACAAGAGCGGTTGTCAATGTCAAGGCAACAAATATAGAAGTAGATGCATGGTACAATTGAAGAACAATCGTTTTTTTTCCCCGAAGCAAGGGTGCCGGGAAAAAATGTTTTCTGACACCCATACAATGTATACCCTCGAGAGGCGCCGAGGGGGGGAGGGCATACTAAAATCAAGTAAATCCAAAAACTAATGTTTTTAACTTTTGGCCCGGTTGCGGCACCACTGTTTTTTTTGCACTCCGACCTCTCGAGGACTTTCACTTTTCTGTGGGCGCCCTTGCTTCAAGAGGAAATTAATTTATTTGTTCTTGTTCTTCCGACTGCGGCGACAGAAACAAGAGATTTCAGTCTGACAAAAAAGATTCGTTGACTTCATCTCCCACAGATTGTCTTGCCGGTTCGGCAAAAAAAATGCCGAGACACATTGGGTTTGTACGAATCTCATGGCGAGGCGGGTGCCTGCATGAAGACCGGGTCAAACTCCTGACATGTGACATGGTTCGGGCGACAATACAACGCGTCTGGCTCCACGGTGGCAGCCACACTGGTGGGAGAGACAGCAGGGAGGAAGCACACGACGGCTTGCCGGGCCACCACCATCGACCGCAAGAAAAGTTTTGAACGTGAACTCTCGTAAATTCGTGACTCGCGACGGAATAAAAAAACACCAGCCAGTCGTATCGCACCAACCGCGGGTCAGATGCGGAGACCATGCGGCTGCAGCCAAGAGCATATATGATCAACCAGAAACCAAACAAACCCGAACAAGCGTGAAGAACAAGACAAACTGGCCCGGCGTCGCTACATCGTCCCTCGCCGAACCCGAAAAACAGACAGAAGTACTACCGTAGACATCGTCTTACGCAAAGTGCTGCACCAGACCGTATTCGAACGCGCTCGGGGGGGGAAATACCTAAGACATGCACGGATAAACATGATAGCCTGTCTAGTAACACGAACAAGCAGAAAAAAATTAAGACTGAGGTGTAAGTCCACGTTCTACTCATTTAAGATACGTAGTAGCCAGATACAAACATACAGGCAAGCAAGCCGACGGAAATATAAAATGTAAAATGTGACGGAGGAGGCAAGACGACGGACGTTGCACGGGAACCTTTCAGACGGGTACACGCTTAATGGGCACCTCTCTCTGCGTGGCTATAAAACAAAGTAAACGTAGGAGTGCGAGACACAGAGCCTACAAGTGCAACTGCTACTGTTCCCCCTGTGCTCGAAATCCGCCAAGAAAGAGTGGACAGCAGTTGGCCGGTCTAGAGCAGTACTTGTACTGCTAGCAATTGCTCGTGACATATGCGTACCACAAAATAACAGAAGATTCGGAATAACCGTCTACGGCATTACCTGGTCATGGCAAGCACGATCGTCGAAAAATAATGAACAAAACAAGTACAAGCAACATAGAGACCAAACACTTTTGGGCATAGACGATCGTAGACTAGACGCACGGGCGAGAGGATTACCCAAGATTTAACCAGAAACTCATGCACTCAACCCCCCTCACACTGATATCCGTTTGGATGGACGTTCCTTCCATCCCGACCCCCCACCCCTCTCCCTCCTTCACCCTGGAAACAATCGTTTGCTTCTTCTCGTCCGACTATGTTCAAATGTTATCTCTCAAAAGGCCCATGCCAGCTCGTTCACGTATAGCAGCAGCCAAGCAGGGTGCGACGACGAAGACTCCCCGAAGAGCGAACTAACGCGAACGGACGGCTGCCGGCAAACCGGTCGACAACAACGGTGCGACCGGGCATGGACCGACGCCGAATAGGCTCGCCCGTCCTACGAGCGCCAATCATCATCGCACACGTCGCCCAACACAAGACACGCCCTGAGGGAACATCACAACACACCCACCACCATCGCACCACACCCATTGTGCTTGCGGTGACAAAAGAAAACCGCCACCTTCGAGGGTCTCGCACAAAAGGGCTCAGTAGAGAGCAACACAGACGTCCCAACACACCGAAAAAGTAGGAAACCAACACCACATGCGGCAAGCATCGCCATTCATCATCATACACCGACACAAACCAGCGTCGTCACATCCAGCCGGCGGCCTCTTCCCCAGCAGGCGCGCAGGCGACTGCAAAGCACATCCGCGTGTGCCCATCATCATCTCCATCCAGTCGGAAAACACACACACCATCATTTCCGACACCAACCCTCCCCTCCCCTCCCGCTCTCGCTGTAGATACGTACTCATTATTCTCCCCGTGCTACACACATTCATTCAGAAGCCACGACGGCCGTCGTGACTTGGTTTTGGGCTCGACGTTGGCCTGGGACTTGTCGATGCCACCGAAGATGACCCCCAGCCCATGACGCTGCGCCCCTTGGGGCCGCTCCCGCTCCCGCTCCCGGTCGCGGTCCCGGTCCCCGACTGCGTGGGGCTGAGCTCCGGCGCTGGCTTCGGGGAGAGCCTAGTTGCCAGGGCCCTCATGCTGATGGTCCGGGCCGTAGTCGGGCTTGGCTTCGGCGACGGCGCTGGCATGGTCAGAGGCCTCTCCTCGTTTGCAACGTCCACCTTCTCCACCGTGGCCATGGCCTTGGCCGCGTGGACGTCAACGTTCCCGCCGTTGACGGGGTTGAGCGACGACTTGGCCCAGCTAACGCTAGCGCGCTGCCACATCCCCTTCGCCCTGCCCGTCGGCGTCAAGTCGCCGCCGTCGCCGCCGCCGCCGGTCGCGCTGCTGCTCGCCGCCACGGACGGGAGCCGACTCTCTCCGGCCCGTTGGCTCATGAGGGCGGACACGACGCTTCGCCGCAGAGAACCCTCGCGCTTGGTCGGGGACTGTGAGTGAGAAGCCTCGCTTACGCTCGCCGCATTGGCGACGGAAACCCGGGCGGCGGCGGTAACAGCGGCGGGGGCAACGGAGGCGCCTTCCTCTTGCACCGCGCGCTCCACGTTGGTCACGGTCACCGGTGCCGTCTCCTCCTCCGGGGGAGTGACGAAGATGCTCAGCGGACGGGTGAGCGACTCCGGGGTCTTGGCGCCCCCGGTCGCGAAGACGGGCTCCGCGCCCGCCGCTCCGGCCGCGGCGTTGCCCTTCTTCGGGTAGAGCTTGTGGTCCGTGTCGCGGTGCGGCAGCGGAGGCTGAGCCTTCGCCGAGTCGCCCTTAATGTCCGCCGGTACCGAGCCCGCCCTGTGCAGTGCCATGTAGATGTTCTCCGGCACCTCGTCTCGCACGACGAGCCTCGCCCGCTGGCCCTGTTGCGGGTGCACCATCAGGCACGCCAGGAGCTTCACCACGAGGTCTTCTACGACTGTCGGCGGCGGGGGCGCCTCCTCCTCCGGCACCTCCTCGGCCGGGGGAGCGTTGGCCATGCCAGGGACGCGGCCGTACTTGCTCACGCGGTTGTTGCCCTCGGCCGTGCCGGTTACCACGGGGGGCTTGTACGATGTGAGCTTGTCCACGAGGGCGCGGAGGACGAGGGGGCTCACGAAGTGGTGCGCGACGTCCATCCCTTCGTTCGTCTTGCTCGCCACGATAGACCTGAGGTCCGTCGTACACGAGAGAGAGATAACAAACGCCGGGCAATAAATATTATTTTGTGTCATATCTACGCATTGAGAGCATTGAGTAAATACGAGTTGACACCCCAGTAGGCCGCCGAGCGAGGGAGAGTGAGTAGTATGCTTGTCGACGAGAGAGAGAGAGAGAGAGAGAGAGAGAGAGAGAGAGAGAGAGAGAAAGAAAAAGCGATACAATTTTCATCAGGCGTTTGCCGAAAAACATTAATGCGGGATTACTGGCTTACCTCGCCGTAACCAGGAACAGCCCCAGAGAGTGATCGTCCAGCGCGGGAGAGTGCACCATCGCCAGGGCGTGCTCGTCCGACACGATCTGCGCCCCCGCCCCGGCAACAGTCCAGTGCACCGGTACCGATGCCAACAGGCACACGATGCGGGCCCCCCACCTAAGGATAGCCTCCCCCTGGGACAGGTCGCTGTCCGCCTGCGGGGCCACCTCGTTGGCAACTCCCCGGGGGGGTCGCTGGGAAGGGTCGTAACGCACCGACCCGAGCCCGAGCTCTTTCCAGATGAGGGAGAAGGCGATGGGCCACAGACCGTTGGCCTTGCGAGAGGCGCCCGCCAGGGCCCCGTCGCCCAGGCACGCGAGCGCGTAGTATAGGGCCTCGAGCAAGACCGGAAGGAGCTCATCGGCGACCCTGCCGTGAAGCATCGCCTGGCAGCGGTGACGGCAACCATAAGGTGGGAGGGTCGAGACAAAGACAAGAGATGGGTGGGGTAGACCGTAGGGGTGACCAGACCCGTGTGGTCGAGGTGGTACCTTTCGACGAAGCCACGCCCGGAACGCTACAGATCCTCAACTCAACCTCCACGTGCATTGCGTTCACTCCAACAGCACCACACCACATAGGTTTGCACATATGCACATACCTCCCGCAACTTGCGCACATAGCGTAGATCAACACGAGGCACATCTGAGCCTGTCGCTAGATCCAACAAACACAACCAAACCCCGGCTCCCCGTTGAGCATGTCCCAACAGCAACAACGTCACACTTCGAACGCATCCCCCGTCACCACGACACCCACTCGACTCGGCTGTCTCAAGACCACTCCTCACCTCCACCGAGCACACGAGGAAGCCTTCCACCATGTCCTTCTCGAGGGCAAACCCAGGCTCGGCGGCGTACAGCCTGAAGTACAGCCCCGCCACGCACGGCTCGCTCGAGTGGGCGTCGGGAAGCAGCACCTGCTCTGGAAGGTACGCGGGCATCCAGCGCAGGCTAGCCCCGACCTTCACCCTGCGGCGCCAGTCCTCCCAGTGGGCCCAGGTGAGGGCGGAGAGGCGGTCGCGGCAGGAGGTGTCCCACACGAGGATGGGGGACACTGCCTCGTCGTCGAGGTGTCTCAACAGGCTTTCTCCGGTGGCTGAGAGGGGCGGTGCGGGGGTCGAGACGGATGAGTCTGAGGGTTATTGACACAAGCGAAGTTTTAAGGGCCGAGTGTGTGTGTGTTGTCTGGTTTGTTTTTCACATGTACTACGTCCCGTCTATTCCGACACCAGCCTAAACTTTTATTGCGGTATTACGTTACATGCGTACAGGCATTCCGATGAAAACAGTATTGCTACCGACATCCCCCGCATGCCGAAGGCCCCCCCCCCCCCCCCCCCCCCNGAGAGGGGCGGTGCGGGGGTCGAGACGGATGAGTCTGAGGGTTATTGACACAAGCGAAGTTTTAAGGGCCGAGTGTGTGTGTGTTGTCTGGTTTGTTTTTCACATGTACTACGTCCCGTCTATTCCGACACCAGCCTAAACTTTTATTGCGGTATTACGTTACATGCGTACAGGCATTCCGATGAAAACAGTATTGCTACCGACATCCCCCGCATGCCGAAGGCCCCCCCCCCCCCGTTCTCTGATACAATCTATAGTGATAGATACGGCTAATAACGCCCACGCACCATCCGCCTCGAGGTGGAGGAGGAGTAGCTCGGGCATCACCCTGCCGAGGCCAATGCTGGCCGCAGGGACCGACACGCACAGCCGGTGGAGAATTGCGGCACACCGCAGGCGGGTGGCCAACTGAAAGTCGTTGTGGCAGACCCTAGAGATGGATTGAGTAGGACGGAAGGGAGCAAGCACTCACTGGTCAGAGCAAGAAAAATTAAGACGGGGTCCAAACGGCGCGTTGAAGTTGGAACCGTAGCATCGTAGAAAGTTGCTGGATAGAAGCCTGCTTAGCCCTGGGTTTGCTGTAATGAACACCACAGCAGGCGACCCCAAGCTGTTGTTCTTTCACAAACACCGCAACCATTCAATCACCTACGATAGCACACGTCTTTCAACAAAGGCTCCTCGTCTACCCTCGCTTTTCAGCACGGGCCACACCCTGCAACTGACATCGTTCCCGCTACCGAAACCACCTCCAGAGTAAGCACCTATCCGGTAGTTCATGGCTACATCTCCCCTCTCACCTGGACAGGAACATCGGGACGGCACCGACGCTGACCATGTGACCCGCGGCAGACGGGTGGGCGTCCAGAAGCATGGCCGCAACGTGCAGTGCGGCTTCCCCATCCTCTTGCGAGAAGGCGCTGAGGTCGTAGTCGTCGGCCAGCATTTTTCCGCATGCCTGAAAAACGAAGCGGTCAACCGAAGACCAAGGGTCATGTCAACCTAGGCACGGAAGGTATTGGGCATAGTAGCGACAGAGGCATTAATAAAGGCAGCCCTTTTGGATAAGATGGGCTGCATATCGGCAGCGGTGTGGTCACAGGGTACTTACTACTTTGGACCCCACCCAAGGCCTGGCAAGGCCTGGCAACCTCGCAGAGCGTGTTCTCCTTGGTGCAGCATACACCATCAACCGTTCATCATCCATCCACTCGCATCGGCGAGACACACGTGTCGTGTCTTCGAAAAAACAAACTTTGTACCTATCCAATCCACAATCTCAAACGGGTAAACGTCCCTCTGTGACATGTACTAGTGTGTACCCTTGTTTTAAAAAAGGAACTCCCACACATCCACCAACGAGAGTCAGCGACTTACGTGGACCGCCGGCGCCGCAGCTCCCGAAGCAACCAGAGCCTCGCCTGCGGACGGACCGCCCTTAGTCAAGAAGACGTGCATCAGCCGGACCACGGAGCGCGTGATGGTCGGCGCCGCGGGGCCAGCGAGGCCGTCTCGTAGGTAAGGCTGCGTGGCTGCCCACAAGAGGTTGAGCGCTTCACCGCTGTCCTCGATTACCTCGGGCACCTTCACACGAATCACCGATTGGAAAGGAAGAAAGATGAGGGAGGGGATACTCTTGTTACATAGAAATATGGAGGAGGGCTCGACGCCATGAAAATCTCATCGTTCAGCAAGACGCCTCTCGGTCATGGATGCAAAACTGCTGTGCATGGTGCGTTCGTTCCATGGTCTCACAAACAAAAAAACAACATGAGTCGCACCTGCTCTTCGCCCACAGCAAGACCGAGCAAGGCCTGCAGCAGCAGCGACACGTCCTGAAAGAATAGCTCGCGGTCGGCGGTGGCAGTGGGCACCTGGCCTGCTACAATCAACCGCATCTGATCCCCCAGGTAGACGAAAACGGATGCCTGAACACCGCCCGCCAAACGACAGCAGTTGGTTCAGGGTCAGATACGCATCGACAGCAGCAAGCGTCAACTCACATAGGGTGCCTCGGCCGAAAGTAGTTATTGAGCACTTTGTTGCTGTTTCTTTGTTGGATAAATGGTCGGTAACCCGGAGGGCGGTGTTACCAGCACAACGCATACTTCATTTCCACTTCCAAGACGCCTGCCATAGTGCTCGAGACGCCATCCCTCACCAGCAAGTCGGACGGGAGGGAAAGACCCTGCCCGAGTCCCGAAGCGGCCGCCGCCGCCCTACGAATATCCCCGTCGCCCCCAGCTTCCCTTTGCCTCTCGGCATCGCGGACGAGCACTCTCAGGTACACGTCATCCACCACCAGCTCGTCCTGCAGAGACGCGAACACAAACCCGTCGAGCTCCCTGGGCTTGAACCTGCGGCAACGGCCCGATGCGGGATAAACCGCAGGCACGGCGGCCCCAAGGCCGCGGTGTCCTCCGATGTCTGTTTCGGCCGGGGGCTGCGAGCAGGGGGGGGGGGNGGGGGGGGGGGGAGCGCAAGTCACGGGCAACCAGGCAGGGGGCAGGGAGAGACCGTGAGACGGATAGGAATTGTGGTCACCTTTTGAGATAGTTAACGCAGCTGCAGATGTACAGTCTGGTGCGCAAGGAGGTTTGCGCAAGGTTTGGAAGCAAGACCTACTTAGGTCAACCCCGTCTACGTTACATATTCTTCCATCCCGTACCTGCTTGAGCAACTCCTCCAGTTCGTCGCGGCATTTGGGCCCCCACACCACCTTGGGCGTCTCCACCGGCACCGACGACCGCAACACACGGACAAACTCCTCGGCCGAACGCCGGAGGACCGCCAACCCTCCGGGCGTCAAGAGCGCCGCAAGAGCCGCGTTGGTCCCGGCGTGCTCGCCTTCCGCCAGCGACCGGAGGGCCATGGCGGACTGGATGCCGAGGCCCGGGTATCCCCCCGGACGATCCTCGCAGGCTTGGGGGCGAACGCAGTGCGCGATGNAAGAACATGAAAGCTGGCGTCCAAATTTTGTAGAAACACGATCGCCAAACATACATACCACACACCGGAGGAACCTAAATCACTCCACCACGCCTCTTCGCTGAATCTTAATCAATCCTCCCTGCAATCTCAATCCCTCGTCCTGGTAGGGCACGATGAAACCGGCAGCAAGGCTAGCCGTACGACTAGAGAACTTCGAGAGGGCCAACAAACGGCTGTCGCAGTACAAAAACATGGCTCCGCACTCACCTGACTCTTGTAGAGCAAGTCGATGTGGGCTTCCTTGCCCAAGCCCAAGGCAGCGAGACCGATGCCCTCCGTGGCTGCCAGTATCGCGGTCGGCGCTTCCAGCGTGGACAACGAGGACACCAGTCCGCCGACATAGCTTGTCAGGCCGGGGACCTGAATGGCACCAATAAAGACACACACAGAGGGGCAAGGGATAGCAAAATAAATCAGGAAACGCGTGTTGCTTGGACGATTTTTTGGGAGACGTTTCCACACGGGGTCATACATCACACTGTCGCAAAACTTGTTTTCCAAATACGTTCTTCCATGTGTGTTTTCTCGTCATCAAAGAAAACAAACACACGGAAACATCAAACCCTCTGGACTCATGGGTTACTTTCTCTACCCCGTTCCCCAGTCCATACTGCACGAGATGAAGGAGGTCGGGCAGCCGCCATCATGTCGTGTAGGCGGCCTAGAGGAGGCCGAACGAGACTCGGCAAAAACGTGAGCAACAGACAGGCAGAAGCAGGACGCTTCAGGTGTGCACGTACCTCGCGGTTGATGTCAACGCCATGCGATGTCTCCGAAGAGAGATCCTGCTCTGGTTCCTTCAGGGATCGAAGGATCTACGACAAGGAGAGAGAGAACACCGCAAACAAGTGTCACACGATAAGGATATGAGAGGGGAGGTTATACATACAAGGATACAGACGAACGTCTGGAGACGGCATCAAGAAAACCTCGCCATCAGCAAAGACCAAAGAAAGCGACTAAAAAAAAGAAAACAATGTGCCGTTTTGGCTGGACTTGAGCTCTGATGCGTCAAGGCTACATCACCCCTTGAGCCGGCTACCCTTCCCCACAACACCACCACCCAGTCCTACAGTAGTCGCACCTGGTTGCCTGCGCCCATCAGGTGCCCCGCGCTCTCTTGATCGTCAAGCTGCTTCAGCATCGTCAGCAGCGCGTCAACCTTACGCAAGTCCACCGCAACCGTCCAGCCCCCACCGTTCTCAACCCCGTCACCGCTTCCGGTGGTGCGGCGACGGCCGCCTACGCTAGACCTGCGGCGAGACGCCGCGCGACGCCCCTGCGTCTCTTGGCGGGCGGGGGGCACCATCGATCCGTCCACCGCGTTCCACGCCTGGGCGGACAGTCTGTTAGCGCGGGCTAGGAAGCCTAGGCAGAGGCTGAGGGATTCGGTGAAGCTGGCCAGGGAGGTCAGAGCCTCTGGGCTAAAGCTGCACGCTACGGCTGCAACACAGCGGTAAAAACAGCAGAAAAACAGTCGATTAATTGACGGCGGGAGGCAAGGGTTAGGAGTTGTGTTTCAGGGATGCCACGTGCGGGATGTTGGACGACCAAACAAAATCATGCTATCATGCTCGAACGCAACGGATGGACGAATCGATTGCGCCTCCTCCCCACGGCGGGCACGCACAAACTCTTGACGTGCCGCCAGATATCCAGCTGCTGCGACATCAGGGTCAGTGTCCGGGGAACTCACCGACGCGAGCCGTGATCTCCAACAGCGGTGCCGCAACGGCCCCGATGGCCCTGGCCAGGCTGTCAGGCCCGGTGACACCGTTGGTCGCGTGCTGTCGCAAGGTCCACAATAGCGGCTCGTGTAGGTAGATCACGTCCCCCTGACATGTCAAAGGTATCAGGATAGATGGACGCCGTAAAGCAGTACCACACACAGAGGACGAGGCACGATTCACGGTCTGTCAAAAAGCACCCCTCATGGCCACACACCGGCCGCACATCTACCCCTGCTATCTACACGTCACAGAAAACACTTACCAACTTCGGAAACGCTTTACTATACGCGGGCGGAACAAATCGGTGTCTCTCACCTCGTTCTCCAGAGGGGTGCTGATGCACCTTACACGTCCCTTGCCGTTCCCCGCGTAGAGCTCGTGCATCTCGGGCGGACCTTGCAGCACCTCGGTCATGGAGCTCGCCACTTCCAGGAGGAAGGCCGCGGGGTACTCGATGCGGTAGTTCTGCCAAGAGGAGCGCACGGCGATGCCGACAGTGCCGGCCGGGGTAAGCGCTTGTGGTGGGTAAGTAGGCGAAATACACTTGATACTTCCGACTAGGGCTGCACCATTGCAAAGCTCGAGCATGCCCCAAAAATCACCGTGACGTCATCATATCCTTGAAAGAAGATGGGACCCGTAAGTGCCGCCCACAAGAGCAAACACAGAGAGCTTCGTGCCATTGGTGATGTACCTCGCCAACAGAACAAAAAATCAACTACACAGGTCCTTCGCTTGTTTGCATCCGTGTGGTTTCGACCAGAGCCGCAGTAAGCCGGCAAACCCCTCCAGACCGACCTGGATACATGATTGGAACACACGAAACGTACAGGCAGACAAGATTTCTTTGACAGACAGGACCCTCCCCATCTCTTCATACGCACCTCGTCCATAAGCTGCACGTAGTAGGGGCTGGTGAAGAGGACCGGAACGCCTCCCTTCTCCGAGTACAGTGCCTCCAGCCGACGTCCAGCCTGCCACAGCACAGAAACCAAAGAGTTGCGCAGACAAAGCCACCACACATGAGGACTCAGCGATACTTTGTTGTCTCAATACCGCAGGAACACGGGCAGGAACGCGGAATCGAAAGCAAAATACGCCAAGAACAAGACCACCATCCGAAACGACAAGCTCGACACAACAGGCGGCCAAGCTGAGGAAGAAAAGCGTAAGAGCATACAACTGTACCTCGTGGACCTCGATCGCAGGCACGTCCTGCAGTCCTGGCGTTGCACCCTCCAGCTCCCGCAGAACCACTCCGAGCATATGGCGGCACTCGGAGTTCCACACCACCGTCGGCGTTTCCAGTCTGCAAAGTGCAAACGGAGACCACGCCAGCATCACGAGTCAAACACAGCACCCCAGTTTGCGTGTGCCCATACTTGTCTGAGGTAAAAAGAGGTCGCTTTCTAGAACGCTTGCAGTTCTCATAGCCAATGAAGTGGAGCGTGGGTTCACGAAATGAACCCCCCAGAACCCCTCCCGCTGTACACGTGCAAAACCGCTACCATTTACACCTCCATCAGTCCTCCGGAGGACCGAACAAACAAAAAACACTCACCCATCGGCAAGGAGAGCCTCGGCAAACGCTCGAGCTCCCTTGGTGACCATGAGCCGTACGAGGGCTCCAGGAAGCAGCGGATAGAGAGGACTGCGGGCGAGAATGGCACCCTCGCGGGGAGCAGACACTGGCCCGACTGCACAAGCGAACACCAAGAAGGAAAGCAAACAGCGGGAAGCAAACAGTGAGTACTTGAGAATGGGGTCGAACACAAGCAAAAAATGCCGGATGATCGCATCCTTCAACAACCAAAAACGGCTGATAGTGATCGATGATCTTGTCTTGGTGCTGCGCGTGGTTTTTTCTGTTGCCTCGACCCCGTCTATCCACAACCACCAACCCCCTCCACAAGAACCCCTTCCTCAACATCCCGTCCCATCCCATCCCACCTGCGCCACCCATGCCGCCGTCGGAAAGCCGAGAGGGCGGTGCCGCCACAGCCTCCGCCCCGAGCAACTCGGCGCAGAGCTCGGCGCAGCGTCCCTCGCACGCGTGGCGAAGGCAGCGGACCACGATGCGCCCGCGGGCACCCGCAGAGAGCGGGATCTCCAGGCCCCCCCTCACGACCGTAACGAGAAGGGTCAGGGCCGGGTGTAGGACAGCTTCTTCCTCGCTGGCTAGCAGGTCAACCAGCGCCGCGAGGGCAATCGGGTTGGCGAGTTGGCGCTTGGGCGGCGGCTTGGGGAAGAACATCTTGCCGTCCATGTCCTGGGCGGGAAACACCTGAGGGGCACACATTACACACAAGTCAAGTAAGGACGGGCATTGTACCAATAGCAAACAACCACCAAAGTGGAGTGACTGCATCGAATGATTGCCTTTTGTCATGAACTTGATCATAGACACTACATACACCCGGTTCTGAAGCCGCACAAGAATCGAGCTCAATCACACAAAACCTCACCAGTACTCCCTGCCCACAACGTCGGCGCCAACCACACACCAAAAAATTACCGCGGTCCCCTGTTGCTCACCTCGAGCGCGGACGACAAACAGCTGATGCACTCCACCACGAGCTCCCTGCACGTGAGCGCCACCGAAAGGTCCGACGCTCTCTCCCGGCGGGGCACCCTTCCACCTTTGGCGGACCCAAAGTGCTCTTCAGACCCAGACGACCCGGTCGGGCTAGCTCCGGTGCCGTCACCCCCCGGGGCAGCGTCGGCGACCGGCAGCGGGGTCACCGTCGAGGAGGAGGCGGTGAGACTGTGCGCGTGCTGGAAGGCGCTGCCTACCAGCTCGACGAAGGTCTCCACCCCGCCGTGCATCACGAACAGGCGGACGTTGGCCGGCTGGTTGTCCATGCAGACTCGCACGAACTGCAGCCAGTCGTCGTTGTGGCCGTCGACATCGAGTTCGCGGGGTGGACGAGCGGGGACAAACACGGAAAATAGGCGACGCGTAAGGACTAACGTTGGGTCTGACTAGAAGCAAGGCCCAAGAAAGACGAGCAACAGTCTTGACACAAATCAAAAATGCGGTAGGACAATCGCGGAAGCAAGGAGCACGTGTGTGTTCAAGCGTCTTACACGGAAACCCTCTCTTCGACCAACGACCACGGACATGATGAGCATGCAGCCCACTGCACACGATTTTCCGGCACTCGAGATCCACATCGTTCTCATGGCATCGCCACGCACCCCCCCAAACAAGCTTGGTACTCACTCGAACACCCTAGCGTCAAGCCCAAAAAAATAAATCCCGTGCTCGAAGCACAGGAAAAAAAATCACCTGAACTGCAGCGTAGTACGTGGCCGTGGCCTGAGCGCCGGACTTGGGCTCCGCATCAATGCCGCCGGAGCGGCCGTCGTGCTCATCCTTGTCAGAACCTTCGTCGTCGCTGTCGAGAGGGTTCTCCTCGGCTGCTCCCACCGGGCCAAGGATAGCCGGCAGGGAATACGTGAGCATGTGCAGCACCGACCCGAGGAACGGCAGCATGGGCACCGCGCGGGAGCCTAGGTGCTGGAAAAGGCATGTCATCGTGTCAAAGACTAACTCCAGGCTGCCGGCCTGAGGCAGGGGGGGCGGAACGGCGGCGAAGATTACCGGGTTGTGTCGATTGGTCGGGTGGGTTCAGGAACCCTTGAGCCAGTTGCATAGATTTCATTAACCGTCGAGCAAGTAGTGGAGGGTCAACAACACAACCTCGGACAGAAGCCACCCCGTGTTTTTCGGTCAGATGGTTCACAGCATTAGCAGAGGGGACACCAATACCATGAGCTTTACACAAAGACAAAGCAACACCTTGGCATTTTTGCTGGACGCCTGAGGTCCCGTGCACACATTTGCAGAGTCGATAACAACCGGGGAGGGGCACTCACGTCTCTCTCGTGAAGAAGGCGAAGGTGGCACAACTGTAGGAAGTTCCCGAGAGCAGTCGGGTTTCCCAGACGCTGGCGGATCATGTTGGAGCTCTCCTTTGAGCTATCCAGGTCGGCGATCAACTGCTCCAGGTAGTATCGCCCAACCTTCACCTAAAATCGCTCCAAAAGCACACCAAAAACGGAAACCACGGTTCAACGTCCTCGTACCCGCGAAAAGCAAAACAAAAGACCTTCAGGCGGTCAAAATGTGGCCACCGGGGGTCCATCTATCTTGACACAGCCACTACACACAAAGAAGTACGCCGCACCAATCAGGGAACCCTTACCTCTCCGACCATGTTGTGCCACGGTACCTCCCAGGCGGCGTCGTTCCAGGCCAAAGCCTCGATCGGGGCACGCCCCCCGCGTCCCTTGTAAGACAGCCGCCTCGTCTCCCGTTCCAGCTCCTATCATACGAAACAGAACAAGAGTCAAAAGAACGAGGTGAACGACTGCAGGCTCTACCAGCAGCCTCTCGGGCAACAAAGCACGACTGCTTCGCTGTACGCCGACGGAACACGTTTCCAATGCCCAACCTTCCTACAACAGCCGCCTCACGAAAAACACTGACTCGTGTCGCCGACGTGTGTACTTTTTTGAACTAGCATCGACCGCGCCAACTGGATGACCAATGAAAAGACAAGGCGTCAGTCCTGTAGTGTTACGCTTTCCCCGGCCATCACCTGCAGCTGCTCGAGTAGGAGCTGGCCAAGGGCGTCACGGTGGACGGGGCTCCACACCACCTCTACGTCCCTGACGTCCTGGCTGAGGATGCCCCACCTCGCGTGGAGGTCCAGGGAATCCGCACCCGTGAAAGACGTGCCCCACACGGCTGCACCACACTCGTTGAAGAGCTGTTGGAACGGTGATGGACAAGAAACAAATAAGAGGTGATTATTGTAGCGACGGTCAAGTTTGCACGCGAAATCACCAGGGCCAACGTGATAAAACAACACATAGCATACCAGCAACCAAAGAAGCATGAGTAAATATACCAAACCCAATCTTCTGTTCTCGCATACATGACTAGTCAACCACCTTGACGTAGGAAAGGCCAGGCACAGCAGTAGATCGAAGCAAACGACGTGAGAATCTTTACACATGAAGAAAACACACTGAGCACCACTTACGCACAATAAATCATCAAAAATCAATGTCAGCAAAACAAAACACGACGTCCGCACCTGGTCCGGCGGAGAAGGAGCCAGAAGCCCCGGCGGAAACGAGCGTGTGAGCACCCCTAGGCTGCGGGCGTCGCCGTCGGTAAGGGCGCGACACAGCCGCCCAGCCACGCGGCACATGTCGGGTTCGCGCGCATCCATGGCGAGGAACATGACCCACAAGAGGATTCCGGAGTCTCTCGCCGTGTCCTACGCATGGGTCGAAGTCAACGTCGGGAGGGTTAAGAACGGACATCGGCGCAACAGGGGTGCATTCAAAATTGAATGCCAAACACCCACGCAGACACAGCACACGGAGAGAGACGGAATCCCCATGCACACATACGGCCATCAAGTGCCTCAGAACGCCTGCCTGCTAATGCTGCTTGTGAATACAAGCATTGTCCAGCATAAAACAATACGAGGGTTGTAAAACAGCGGCAACGGAACGGAATACACGCCACCCGGCACGCGAACGCCTACCTGAAGGATGGACCGGGGCCCTATGCTAAACCTCTTGCTGTGGTGCATCTTGGTAAGCAGCTGCATGGAGGCCTTGGCCAGAGGCAGGCACGGGGACCGAACGTTGGACAACAGGCGACACATGGCGTCGAACTCGTGCAAGAGCTCCCACACCGCCTCTACCACCGCACGGTCGGCCTGCTTGTCACCGCTAGAGACTAGGATCACCAGGACCTCCATGAGGACGGCCTGGACCAGGCACTCGGGGCCGGCGGGGGGCGGACCGACGCCTGCCATGGTGACCGGGGGGTGATTACTCTCCCCGCCCGGGCCGTCGATGCCATCACCCTCTCCGTCGCTGTCGCTGGTATTTGCAAGAAACGTGAGCGCAGGCGTGGAGAATGGGCATAAAGAACGACCGAAACGAAAAACTAACATTATTTTCGAGAAAATGGCGTTCTGTGAACGTCTTCCTCGCCGGAAATCATCTCGGTGCCAACGGAAAGCTAATCCCGCATTCGCACAGCTGCAACACCTTGCGCTACAACTTCATGACGCCTCACGCATCAGACAGCAAACACCTTCCAAGCGTCTCAAAACCGCTCGCTCTTACCCGAGGTCGCTCCCGAAATCCTCGTCCATGCTGTCCGGCTTCATGCACTCGGCGAAGCATGGGGCGAGGAGCTGCTCCAGTCGGTTCTTCTCGTTGCCCTGGCCGAACATGGCCTTGCGGTTGGCCTTCTCCAGCCTGCGGTCGGCCCCCAGCCCCTCGTCGGACGCTGCGGAGCCGGTACTGTCGCCGCTGCCGGACCACCACGCGGAGTCCTTCCGGGGGTGCGTTAACATGGACCGAATCTGCGAACAAGTTTTTAACAGCGGCGGGGTGGAGTTGGCGTGACACAAGAATTTGTTCAAGTATGCGGTGCCGTGGTGTACAAAATCTGCCCTCTTTTGGGTTTTCACAATACGGTAGGTGTCCCGAAATAGTGCCGGTACGTGTCCAGGCGATTTGACCGGCACTATACCGGGCACCGGCCCTATTCAGAATTGTGCCTGAATAGTGCCGATTTGGCACTATTCAGGACCTGAAAATCCCTCTATAGTGCCGGCTTGGTACTATTCAGGACTGTTCGACTTCGGAGTGCAGCGCTTGCGCTTTGCGGGGCTGACAGATTACCAAACGAACGGTATTTGGATCAATCGTGAGGTGGGCGACGTGGGCGGGCTTCATTGAGTTTCGTGAGGCTCGTGACTGTCGAAAACACGGCATTGGTCACATCAAAATTAACTTGACCAAATAGATTTGTTGGACAGCAGTTGTTCTCTTCCCACCTCAGCGCAAGCACTCGCGATTGTGTTGCCCGATAAAAGTTCACCTCGCTATCAAATTGTGTTGTATTGCAAGAAGGCCGTAGCACTATTACTATTCAGGCAACCTCGAAGGCACCCCTGGACAGCGAAAGAAAGACGCTCATGCATGCACCCGATGTACATTTGGAGGTAACACATGGATGGATGTGGTGCTCCTTACATGAGCACAAAAAGCAGATGCAACCTAGAAAAGGGGCGAAAAGGATAACGAACTCCCCTGTTCCTCCGATAAAAAGCTAGAGAGAAGACCAAGCCTTCAGCAGCAAGAAAAACGACTGGCCAACCAAAAGACGTCGTCTGTCTCAGTGCGGTTAAGAACAGAAAATTTTGTTTCTAGAGGAAATGAGAGGGTGTCATGGAGGAGGCTGAGCTATTATCTGGATAAACGACAGAAATGGTAGCAACCGAGAGAGGACAACTACGTGTCAGCCAAGGCTTACTACTTTTGAACACGCAGTTGTTCGGAGTGTTTTCATCCTTCCCTAGAAGTATTTTATTTACCACCACTACTACACTCTTCGCTTATAATTTCCCACTATTTCCACTATTTTTCGGGCTTTCATCTCTAGATGCTGCGCTCCTGCGGCGTTTGTTGTGAGGGAGGTCATCTCGCTCGAAACTCTTGTTGTTCCCCTCCACGCCATATTTCCCTCCTGCATCATCACCGCTATCCTTGGCTATATTTTCCATATCCTTCGTCATTACCACCATCTTCCTTTTCGCTCGCCTCGCTACTGAAATCCCAGCCTACTGGTGGAGCCTAGTCGATCGGTCAAGCGTGACAATTGAAGACGTCACGCATACCGAGAGAAACCGAGCTGCACTTGTAGCTCGAAGGGAAACCGTCTCCGAATCCTGTTGGCGTGGAAGGCTTGAGGCGAAAAAAGGCTGTGTGGGGGGTGTGAACCGGCACTATTCAGGCCTGTGCCTGTGTCCAGAAAATTTCCCGGCACTACACAGGACTTTGGCACTATTCAACCGGCACTTTATCGGGATACCTGCTGTATTTACTTTCTCCGAGATATGTACGGACATGACCGCGTACACTACGGCTATTGCCCTCAGGCGATGGCCGAAGATCGGAAAGCCCAACCCGTACACGACAGCGCACACACCGATATAAAAAGAAACCAACAACCGGGGGCGCTGCAACAACGACATACACTTACCACGAGGGCCGCCGGGTAGCTGACGGTGTGGTCCTCGCTCGCGAGGCACTTGAACACCCCGTCGATGGCAGGCTGGCACTCGACACGCGCCACCTCGTCATAGCCAGTTTTGCTCCAGAGGAGCCGCAGCACGGCGAGGAGGAGGGACACGCGCCCGCTGTCGTCGAAATGCTGCACAAGCGCGCAAAGCAAACGGGTCCAGGCAAGACGAGAGGGGCAAGGCTGGGGGTCAAGAGGAAACGCATGAAAAAAATGCACCTTCAAAATGGCGTCAGTACCGAATATATTCGAACATTGTCCAGCGAATTGTAGCGCAACAGTTTGCTTCAAGGGCAAACTTAGGTGCGGGGAGTTAACGATAACTGCGCAGTTGGGTATCGCGTTGTTGGATTCAAAGCCGCAATACATCCCTTGAAACTTCCATCTCAACCCCAAAACCAGGCAGAGTGAGGTTGGCCCCAAGCCACGACACCTCTCTAGCACGGCAAGGGTATTCCCGACAACGGTTCATGGCAATGACATGTGCGTGTCTACTTAAACAACACGTGCGCGTTCACAGTCCCCCCCCAAAAAAATCAGGGCAATCACCACAACTTTGACAAGATTCACAGCGAAAGCTGCACCTGCAGGGCGGAGGGTGCCAGAAGGCTCATCGCCGCTGCAGCGGCGCCCTTCTCCTTTTGCTTGAACGCTATCGGCGTCGAGAAGTTCAGCTCGTCCAAAACGGCGAGGGCGTACCCCCTGGCATCGGGATCGGCGAGGACCTTTCCCGGCCCCGCTCGTGCGATGGCGCTCAGCCCCGTCGTACGCTTGAGGAGGAACTCCTGCGAAACGCCATCAAGTAACACGGAACATACGGGTACAGGGTCGTACATAAGATCGTTGAAAATGGCCCACAACGGGAGACCAAAACATCACAACGAAGCAGGAAATCTACGCGGACCAGGCATTCGAGTAAAATTACACAGGTAACGAATCGACAAACGCTAGGATTGCTAATGGGTCCTGACGCAAAGGCCAAAAAGCATGCCATGCCGCCCCAAGCTTCCACACGTCACAAAACAATGGACAAGACTTTGCATCGCACGCAACACCAGTACGCACGCCCTGGTCACAGATTGCGTAGGGACGCAGTGACAAGTAACACTGACACACGCATGCACACACCTGGTAGTCCGGGTGAAGTCCTTGCGTCAGCTCCCCGACCCTGCTCTCGTTGGTCACCCGACGGAGAGACCAGGGGCAGCCGTGGTGGTTGAGCCGGCAGACTTCCAGGAAGTTGGCCAGGAAGTGTACTCGTGCCTCCACGGCCGTGAGACGAAGATCGTGGTACCTTTTGTATGCATAGACGCGGAATGCGGGTCGAGATCAGGAGATTGTAGTGACCGAGTAAGACGATACTGGGCGGTGGCATGGGATGTTGCCACACGACCACATCAACAACAGCTATTCGATTGTTCATCCAGGCTTTGTACGAGCGGTGTACGCCCACACACCTCTGTGTCGGAATTGCCGTGCTCGCTCGCTAAAACAAACTCAAAAAGGCCATCTGCCTAGGCCCTGGAACGCCATCATCGCGATCAACAGCGCAGGCGTTCCTCGGCCCGACAATCGACTCGAAAAGAAAAACACGACACGTAAGGACTGCTGTAGTCCCTTGCAACCGTCTCAAGGAAAACCGCTAGAAGAACACAAAATGTATACGGGAGCACAGAGAGGCACAAACTAAACTCACCCGCAAACTCCATCCGCTCCAGCCCCCCCTGTCTCGGCCAAGGTGGCCAAGTCCGGCACGTGAGACCCTCGAAATTGGCGTTCTTCCGCCTTGCGGGATTGCTGAAGCGAGACTTCGTCTTCCGTGACGGCAACAAACGCCAGGATCGAGTCTGTGCTCACCGCAGAACAGCGGCACGACTTTTGTCGCCAGCATACCCACAAGCAACAAAAGGATGCGATGTCAAACCCCAGCCTCAGGGAAGAAAGGGGGAGAGTCCGTACGCAAAGTCGTCGGGAAAAAAGCTATCCATTGCGTCGCGTGATTGAACAATCGGCGGAGACTAGAGGATGACCACTGCGCACCATGTCCGCCTACTGACATACTCTACCGTAACATCATAACCCCCCCCCCGAGCCTCGTTCGACAACACACTAAACCAACGCAAATCAATTCATGGGCTTTACCGCCCTCCTGCGTGACGGCCAACCAACTACACGGACCAAGCCATGCGCAAAAATAGCTGTACTTCACCTGAAAGTTGTAGGTCGATGAACCCCCCCACGCCATCTGCACCTCGATGCTCAAGCCGTCCCCGTGCGAACCTTCTTCGCCCTCCTCGGGGGTACTCGGCATAGTGTCAGGCGTGTGGTAAACGATGTTGAAGATCATCTCAAGCGGGAATTCCCTCAGGTGATCCCTGGGAAAGGCAGGCGCGGAAGGGTACAGGAACGGACTAAAAACGTGTTTGAGGGAGGCATCACAGTAAGAATTTGGACAATCGCCGTCTGTTGTGGTGCTTTTTGAGATGGGAAACAGGGCTACCGCCCGACCCGAGGTACTGGAACCAAGCTGTCCACGTGAAACCGCCACCCAGCACTACCAAACAGCACCATCAGGGCCTATTCGTGCCCTATCAACTTGATTAGGGCAAACCGGTGTACAGAAGCACCAAGAGCGTAAGAGGCCTTCATGAGCGGCAGCAGCAGCCCGGACGGACCTGGTAGCGACGTCCATCTCCACTACAGAAGACTTGGTGAGAGCCAAGAGCCGGCTCTTGAACGCCCGCTCGGTGCGGCTCCACTTCTGAACGGGGACCTCGAACAGGTATCCCTGCTTCACGCTCTCGGGATTGCGCGTCGCCGTGTCCACCTGCGGGGAGCACAAGAATACAGTCGAACCGGACACGACTTTGTCCGATTCATGCCGCGCTGGAAGCGAGGTGAGTTTGCTTCCACGATCAACCCTCTCGACAACAAGGGTGCCTCTTCAACGAACAGCAAAATTTTATAGCTCCGTCGAAGAGCACCGCACCGGCGCGCCGCTCCTCAAACCACGAACGCACAGCCTCGCCACACGAGCGAGCTCGAGTCGCAAGGCCTACAACGAACGCATGCAACCTCCTCGTGCCACACCCGAAACAATTTCCTTCCTGTCTATCTGAATCACCTCCCATGTCCCAACTCTCTCCACCGGCAGGGGCTGATCTCCCGTCCTGCCGAGGTGTCGTAGATGGTCCTCCATGGCCCTAACAAGGGAGTCACGCGCCGCACACCAGTACCTTCGACGACGGCCCCCGTGGCAATCAACCAGCATCTGCTCCAATGACAAGACGAAAACATGCAAACGGAAAGGTACAGGCAGTGAGCGACACCAAGTGGAGCAACAATGCCATGCGCGTCTGGTGTACAGAGCGGCTGATTCTCAAGGAACACTTTTTATCTGCATGGAAAAGACATGCCTTGACAAGCCTGCAATCGCCGATAACGCACCCTTCGACGGAGGCCAACTAAATTGGGGGCACACAAAGAAGGTCGCCGAGTGCACAACACTTGCCGCTCACACGTTGGATAAGCTATCAGATCCCCGTGTCCAAAACACGAATGACGATTCGACCCAGCTTCAATACGTTCCGGCCCCGACTCACCAACACAGCAAGCAAGAAGTGCGAAACAGGGAGTAATACCGCGGCAAGTTGATTTCTATATACTTGCGGACCCTTCGCAATCATTATATTTCCGTATACAACGTTTTTTGGATTAGTTAGCTTGTGAACACGGGAATCGACCGCGCCAAGTGTTAGACTAGCCCGGACAGTATTATAGAAGATTTTTGGTAGGAAGAACGGAGCGTATTTTAATGTGAAGACAACAATAACAACGACAACAACAATCCCACCTGCGTAGCGTCGTCGGTGAAAAGGTACACCTTCTCCACGCTCAGGAGAGGAAGAGACGACACCCGGTGCTGCAGCCGCTCCCCGTCGACGCGATCCAGCGAAGTGGGCCCCACCCGCAAGGTCATCTTGACGTCGCCTCGAGTCTTGCTGCGCTTGATCACCTGGAACAGGAGGTTTAAAGGCCGGTCCCGTGCCGCATCCTGCACGCGGGCGGAGAGCAAAAGAAAGGGAGAGGAGAGAAGAAAGAGGACAGACATGGGCGAACGGGGGCCGTCAGTTTCAAAGCTAACGAGGTTGACATAAAGCTGTTACAATGATGTGTCCGACATGGCGATCGGTTGGGTATACAATTGTCACTTGGTTAAGGACACAAAGGGTTTATCGTCGAAACAGGTGTCCTTACGATTGATACCCCCCCTTATACTCTACATTCAGTGGGGCATCATGCCTGTGAACAGAAAGTTTGCCTTGGCCGGCCGGCGGAGTGTGTCATGAACCGACGGACGACTGCAGTATAACAACTATGATATAGAGCGCCAAGGTCCGGGGAGATAGGCGCATGGAAGGGATTGCGGCGTGGTGTAGGCCTCGTACTCAACGACTTCGTGCAGTGGACAAAGGGAGGAATTTTCACATGGCGTCACTGGTGACAACCGCTGCATGAGCCTCGAGAATTCTACAAGGCAAGGTATTGACAGGGCAAGAGAAACGGCAGGATGTCTCGTTGTACTGCTGTGGCACAACATTGCAGGCGTCACTTTTGCGCTCTCTGACCCCTCTCACCTGCAGCTCGGCGAAGGCCGCCAAGAGGCTGGTGCGGTTCCGGCACTTGAACGAGTGACGAACGTTGCCGATGTCGCTTGTCAAAATGATGCCCTTTCCCTGAAAAAATGCCACAGCGACAACAGCGACAACAACGACGTCAAACCGCGCGCCCACAACGTTGGCTTTTCCGCATAATCACCAAGTCGCCCTTGGTAAGAAAATATTCGTATCCCACTCATGCATTTTTACCGGGCCATACACCAACGCAAACGGCTCCGGAAAATGTGCTCGAGAAAACCACGCGGGTAAAACATGTGGCCCAAGCAATACCGCGGTGGACACTAGCAAGATGGGCGTTACTCGTGTTTACACTCGCCTGGTTGACCTTGTCCGAAGGGGCTAGCTGTACGCTCTTGAGCGGGTAGCTGGCCTTAGCCTTCCCGTCGTCTACCCTAACGATGAACAGGCGGTCCGACGTGAATGCCATCATTCGCCTGCACTTACGACGCATGAACCCAAGCCTAGGACAACAACCAGCAGGACAACGAGAGAGCGAAAGAGAGAGAATGAGGATGCAGGCGTCAACGCGACGTCGATAACCAGACGACAAACCTATGAATGTTGCAAATGCAATGAATGGTAAAAACCTGCTTGGGCTACGATGCCAAATCCTTGTGCGGAAACGTCCAACCGGTTTACCGATGAACTACGGTTTTAATTGGAGTGAAATTGGAGTTAAATAGAGATAACAGCCACTGCGCAAGCTACGCGCGCACGCAGGATGAGGGGAAGAGCGTGGGGGGCACTCGGAGGCAGTCGATATCGATCTTTGTAGTGCAAACCTTGGAGGTTCCAATAGAGAAACATGCATGGGCACCTGGTAACGAAGAACCGCGCCGCAAACGTGCGTGGCGCTACGAGGCCGCCGACGCCTTGCTTCCAAGGTTCGGCGTTGTTAACGTAGCTCTCCGTCTCCGTGTCCTGCGAGAAAAAAAAAAGCATCTTCAGGGTTCTAGACGAATGACTAACTGCCGTACAATGCTAAACGTCCTGCTGGACCGCCTTTCCCGATGGGTTCGCGCCAGAATGGGATCATTTCCTGTAGGTTGGATTCTTAATGTCAACCGCCGGCGCCTAGGCCATGGTCGATGTTGGCCTCCATGGCAGGAAGCAGAATAAATAAAATATAATCAAGTATGCAAAAAAATGTGGAGACACCCGTCGGGGCTATTATAATGTATTGTCACCATTTGAAATGCACATCCTGGCCTGAACTTTTCAAGATGTTTTTTCAAGTTGCACCTTGCAAGCAGCGTTTTTGTTCCGCAGCAGCCTTGTGCGGCGCCATGGAACATTGAACATCGAAGGGGTTGCCTCGTGACTTTCGCCGATGGAAATACCGTTGCTGTCACTGGTATTTTATTCATGTCCGCTGCTCCGAACGGACTTGGAAATTTTGAAATTCGTAACTGCTGCTGTGGAGGGAGATGGAATTCGGTACGTGTTGAAAGGATAAAAATCAAGCAACCAACGTCGGCATACGCTGGGTGCGCCTACTGTAGCCGTGCACACCTGATCGGAGTCACCGTCGTTGCCCCCGTAGCCTGACATGGTCGACATTGCCGACGGCACGGCGGATGCTCGGCTGGGCGATGTCGTAGCTGCGTGCGGACAAGGAGAGGAGGAAATCGGCCGAAGGAGTGTTTCCAAACCGCCGTTTGCATGCACACAGCAGCAGTAGTATGGGAAACCCAGGACGTGTGCTCGAGAGCGGAAGACAGAAAATGGCGGCGCGCTGGGGAGATGGGACTACTCTTGCACACAGGCCAAATATGTTTCAAAAATAGTTTTTAGTCTCCAACAAAGAACGCGGGATTGGGGGATGTGCTAGCGTTTTGACGGTCGAGTCGATTCGGGCGATGCACTCTTAGTCACACACACGTCAATTTCCTATGAACGCTGTCAGTGGTGGCGCGTAAAATGTGCGCTCTGACCTGCTCGCACCACATCTGCATACCGTATATCACACAAGATAGCACACCCCCTTGACCGATGGTCACAGCTCGATTTCTCAACAGCAGGAAGAGTCACAGCGCCGAAAAAGGCGGCGTTGGAACCGTCTCGTCGAGAGCTTTCCGAAGGTGTATCGTTTCGTTAGTTCATCCTCTTCGTCGTGAAGAAGTCGAGCTTTGAAAATCGGTCTAGGGGGTGTGTTGTCTTGTGTCATATAGGGTACGCATCTGAGCCCGCCTGGAAAAAACGACGGTTGGATGTTTAAAAAATGATGGAATCGGACACGTAAAAAAGAGACGCTCGCGGGTGGATTGTTGGGTGACTTGCACGGGTGTGGAGGGGAAGGCGTCGAACGAAAGAACATGGTTCGGAGGGAGGAGGAGGAGAAGCCCTAGTCACGCAATGACTCGCGGCGGCCGCGTCCTCTGACGCTATCTGCATGTTTGTGCTTGTGGCCAGTCAACATGGTTGCATTTCGACGAGTTTGTGGGTGCGCTCTCCCTGGTGAGGGGGTCTTGCTTTTGCTTCGGGCGTCACTGGTTTGTGCACAAACAAAAAATGAGTTGCTGCTGGATTGTTGTATAGACCACGCGGAGTTTGGCAGGGTGCAACTCAAGTCGGAGTCGTCCAGGTCGGACATGCCCTTGCCAGCAGTCTTCCATCTAAGCGGTGCCCACCACTGCGACTCAGGTGATCAGCTATTGCTGTAGTAAAATAAATCCCACCTGATTTCTTGGATGCTCGTGAACCCGGTCCGTCAGCAAAAGGATTCGTTGACCTGCTGCCAGACGCAGCAAAGCACCCGCCGGTTTGGAGGAGGAGCGACGGAAGAGACAGTGGTACAAGTGAGGTTTGCATTTTTTCAAAGTCCATGCCTTCAACCCTATCGCGCGACATCAAGCTGCGACGGTACACGCTGCACAAGTCACCACCCGTTTATCACCGTTTTGCCTCATGTGTATCTGCATACACGAGGTGTAAGTAGCCAGAAAAACTCCTCGGCATTGGACACGCGAAGTGAGACAGGCAACGCATTTTTTTCCCAATTCAACGAGGACCACTCTTCGTCAAGAGAGAACGGCGGCATGGGCGCCGACCCATTTTGCCTCCATCAATGATCTCTTTGCAACCGGCAGACATGGCAACGCCTCTGCTCACCTGACATAGCTCATGAGGTTTGCTCACCACACGCCAGAGTGCAACCACCCCCGCGAACGATCGCTCTTGTGCTGTAGGCCACCCTCCCTCTGTTGTTTTTCCTTTGAAAAAACGGCCGTTTGCCCTTTATTGAGCGAGTGAGCACGGGCTGTGCCCAAGAACTGGCGCACGGCACTGCAACGTGCAAAGTACTGGATACGCTATCTTTCCCTTTCTTCACCGCCAACACGCACCGGCCGGCGTGCGACTCGCTGGGTTTGCTCGCTCTGCTCTCTAGTCCTCGCTTTGGTTTTGTGCTACAAGCAGACGGAAATCGCGCGAACAAGGAAGCGGTGACGCGAATTCACAATTGAACTCGGCATAGAGGGCTTGGATTTCATCTGTGTATCTGCGAAACCCCTCACACGTGTCGAACACGTGTGTGTCATCATGCACGTCAACAACGATAGCAGTAACTCACTGCTGTTGCTGCTGTAGATGGTTCGCTGCTGTTGATGTGTCGTCCATGAGTCTAGTGGTGCGAGACGCCGCACACTGTCGGTGGCGCAGGTATCTGGTTCGACTGACGGTTTCTCTGTTGGTTGCTCTACCTCCGAGCTGGTCGTTCAAGGCAACAACAACAGTCACATCAAAACCATTGCACCATCGAAAGCAGCAGCATCAGCGGCAGCATCAACAACCGAGGGCGACCCCGAACAGGAGAAGATGTGCGCATGCGCAGTCTATGCAATGCACCGCGGTGACACTTGCGGTGTGCCGAAGCGCTGTGTTTGACAACGCGGATAATTTCGAAGACGATGTTGGTACCGCAGCACCTCCGCTCGCAGAGACTCCGCCGAGACGAGGTGTTTATCCTACAGAGGGCGGTGGGAGCAGCAGCAGGGGTGGCGGTGCTGGCGTTGAGGTTCCTACGGGCGGCGTCAAAGACTCGGTTGTGGTGCTTTCTGACTGGCTGGATGAGTCTCAGGCACCTCTTGGCTTGGCCGGTCTGCCCGGTCTCGGCAACCGGGAGGAGCACTTGAACCAGGGGCTCGTTGAGGTTGTTGGGAGCCAGGCTGGCGGCGACGACGAGGACGGCGTCGGGGACGGTAGCGCTCCGTTTCGCTTTCAGCAGCTCATCCAGCAAATGTGGGCGACGCTCAGTCGAGGCCACCAGCTTGAGTACCTGGGCAACGAGGGAAAGGCGAAGGTCAAACAGGCTTTGAGCGTGTTGGCGGCCTATTCGGCGTTGCGTGAGCACCCTCTACAGACTGGCGTGGAGAATCCGCAGCAGGTATGTTGTTGTTGTTGTTGTTGTTGTTGTTGTTGTTGTTGTTGTTTCTCACATGAGCTCTTTAGTCTACGAAAAATGGGGAGCCCGTGGTCTCAAAACCCGGCACATACGACGCCGCGGGGAAACAAAACAAAAATAGGGCACAAACCACTCGGAAAAAAGAAAAAAAAATGATAGGACGTACGTACAAACAGCCCATTTCCGGGTGTTGCATCCACCTTGTCTGTTGTACGTGCAACTGCTACTGAGTGTTGGCACCTGTGTTCGTTTCCACCTGTGACAACACCTTGCTATGTAGTGCGCCTAACGCTCTTTCCCCCGTCTGCGTACCCGAGATGCACAGCGGTTCTAACACATGTGTCCGTCTGGCGGGGGTTGCTGTTTGTGTCATTTTCTTGTCACCTCGGATCAGGCGTTCTCGGAGATGGACTTTAACAGGGACGGCGAGGTGTCCTTTGACGAGTTCGTGCGGTGGTATTCCATGAGCACCGCCCTGGATGAGAAGCCCCAACAATTGCCCGTGCAGGCCGACGTCGGGCCCGCTTCCGCCAGGTCGAGCAACGGAGGCATTGCGGCCCCCGAGGTCGCCTTATCCCGAAGCAAGACGCTGCTCTCGACGGGGTCGCGGCTGCTGGCAGACGTCGAACAAAGCTTGGCTCTCACGAGCCGCCAGCTAGGAAACATGCCAGCAGCCGACAAATTACCATTCTCGGCGGCGGCAATCCCCACCGACGGCGGGCCTAACGATAACGTTGGAGCCGCGGCGCCTTCTCCAGGGAAGGCTTGGTTGGGCTTGTCGGCGGCCCCGACTGCAACGGCCGGGGCTGGTCTTGGTGTCACAGAGGAAGAGAAAGAAGCCGCCCGGGAACGATGGCTGTCCGGAGCGGCTGCGGAGCCCGGAGCTGTTGGCTCCGGAACCGATCCAGTCGACGACTCTGCGACGAAGGACCTGGAGAAAGCTTTGGAGATGCTGCGCGTGTTGGTCAGAGCTCACGCCGACGTGGACACCCTGGTGGCTGCGCTCGCGAGCTGCATCATTCGGAACCCCATGGGAAGGTGAAGGCATGGCCGCTCGCGGAAGCCGAGGTCAAATTGAAACATTGTTCGAACCTTTTGCTGCTGCTCTACCCTGTTCTGTTCGCGGAAAGCCTCGTCAGTACCCACTCGTCTTTCTGAACAGCGACACATCAATGGGTCGCGCTTGTCAAATCATGCTCCTGCATGCATGCTCCGCCTGTGTCTGCGGTGCTCCCGATTCCGACCGCTCAAGAAGCTCCAGCAGCCAGGCGCCTCGTTGTTGACTCCATCCTTGCTGCACGCGACACGATCTACCGCTAGTAAAGGAATCACGTCGCTTCTTACCAATTCTTGGCAGGTACAACTTGGAGGTAATCGAGGAGCAATTCGGACCCATAATCCGGGGCATTGTGGAAGACAGGCTTTTGCTGGAGCGTTTGCCGCAGCCAACGTCTTCCGCAAGCTACCTATCGATACAGCAGGTGACATGTGAAACCAAGGGTGCTGGTTTCCTACGGTGTTTGGTCGAAAGCTGCCAGGTTCTTGCTTCATAGTCCCTTACCGCTTGTCAGCGTGATCCGTTGGCGCGTTGGCGCGCACCAACCCATGATAGGCATCCTCTGTGAAGTATCTACCTACACGTCGTAGATCCTTTGTTTTTTGTCCTACCGCTGTCGATATGTATATTCACGAAACGTGTGTCACATCGGATGCATGCCCGCCGTGCCCGTGCCGGGTCTGCATTTCCCTGCTCGCCCCCGCAGTCCTTCGGCGTGAAACCGGTGCTGGACCTGGACGACCACCACGCCAAGCTCATGCGAGACTACTTGGTGAGGGTTAAGGCTGAAGGAAGCACGCCGTTGGGCCTTTGCCTCTCACATCACTAGCCCGGGTACACGCGCCTTGTAGCCCCTTGGTCACTCATACGCACGTTTCGTACATTTGGCCCGGAAAGGTTGGATTTTTGAAGGCAAAATTATGACCCGATGGAGCGAGCGCGGGCTATGAGGCGGTCAAGGTAAAGTGTACCGCGCCACGTGAGCAGTAGATAGCGCCACCACTTACCACATGCAGGATGCCTACGTATCATGCCAAGACTTTTGTCTCGAATGGCATCCCTTAATATTTTGTCGATTTTTCGCCAGGTACACTCCTCGAGGGATGCGCGTGCAGTGGTTGTTCACATGGCCGACCTCACATGCCGACTGCGCGATCCAAGCAAGACGCCCGCGCACACACGACACACGCTCGCCTTAGAGGCGCTCCAGGTATAGAAGAGGATACCGCAACCAGTATCCCCGCAGCGTGGATTTGAGCACGTACAGAGACAAGAGGCACCGCGGAGGACGCGCGGAATGATTTGTTGGTGCTGACCTTCGTTGACGCTGCTTAGAGCTCGGAGAACACTCCGCAAGGAAGGGACTTATTGATAGTCTCATCTACAAGACAAGTTAGCGACGCACACTGTTTGCTCTTGCCGCAGTGCCACCAAGCACCGCGTGTAAACTAAGTCCCTCCCACCTGTCCTTGGAATCGCGTGCAATAGCTGTACGTCCCAGTTTCAAACGCGTTGGGATTGGGATCGAGCTTTCGCGAGCTGGAGGAGCTCGGGTACAAGACGATATTCCCTCAGTCTTACTCCAACATGGCACTCTGGCATCACGATGTAAGAGGCACTCATGATCGTTGCGCATGTGAAGTGCAGCGTGATGTTTTCGTGTGTGCAAAAGCACAGAGCGGGTTGGAGCAAGCAACGCTCGGCTTGGGTGATGTTCGTGGATGAATCGTCACCATTCTGTTGTTGCTCGGAGGGGCAACTATTTGTCAAGTTTCCTTCTCCCTACTGTCACGATTTACGTGGTATGATCTTTTGGTGGTTGTACTACAATCCGCACCACCCGGGTCTGGGAGCGATTCGCGATCCCTACCCTAAACTCACACAATCTGCATGGAATATGGCAGCAGTAGCATTCGTTGGAAGGTCGGCGTGTGCTCTCGTGAACCACTTTCATATGGACGCCGCGTTAGCATACCGTGTGTGTACCACTTACGTCTCCTCCAGCAGTCGTTCTGGACTTACTCTCGCTGCGGCTGTTGCCCTCTCTAATGCGGATTCTATCTGGCGCCTTCCACAACAACATCATCAACAATAGGTGATGAGCAAAAGCCATGACATTGTCCGAGAAGTCAAGAGACGGATGCTGGACGCGCTACACGCGAGGGAGGATATCGCAAGACGAGTGCACAGCTACCGCTTGGAAGGGCGGACAAAGGCGCTCGTGAGCACCTTTAGGAAGGTGGGAAGAGCGCGAAAGAGATGGACAATCGCGTGGGCCCGTTTGTTCTGATGCGCGACACCCTGGGAGAGGCGCAGAACGAAACCCTAGGAGGGACACAGAACGACACGTTGTACAAGTGAACGTCGCTGATATTTACTCTCGTCCTGTAGCATGTGGGGTTGGCTCTTGCAGCCGAGGTACCGTTCTGCTCGTTGCGCTAGAATTTCGGAAGCGGCTTGATATTGTCTCTTGTAGTGGGTTCGTCGTAGGCTAGTAGTTTGTCGTTGCGTATTATCAGGGCGTCTTCGATCAGTCCGACTCGCAAGGGTCTCCAGTCTTGCAAATTTGCACGCGCCACGCGCGGCTTGAGATGAAGCCGCATATAGTCGTATAACTGCACCTCAGCTTGGATGCTGCTTTCTTCCGGGTGCTCTGCCTTCCGCAGGTGTTCCGGCAGAACAAGCGCGCCGATGACGTACACGACATCATAGGCTTCCGCATCATCGTTGCTCCGAAACGTCCTGGCACACGAGCAAGCTCTGCCACCGGCGGAGCAGGACGAACCAGATGGGCAACCGGGGGGGAAACGGCGGAGGAAGCCGAGAATGTCGGCGCGAGGAAGAGACCGGGCGATACTAGAAGGCGGGGTGGGCCGAGGCCGGCGCGGTCAGTCTTCACTGTCAAGACGTTCCCGCCGCCGTACCGAGATGCCGAGAGCCGCCTGCTTCACGATGTTTACGAGGTCTTGGTCGGACTGTTTGAGGAAGTGCCGGGGAGGTTCAAGGTGGGAAGCAAGATTGATATCCCGGTTTTGGTTTCTCGCTTTGCGGTTTGGACACTGCGCACCTTTGACCCACCCGAAGCATGGCCAAAAGGTTGCTGTTGTAGTCGGGAGAGATCGCGGCTGACCTGACCCTATGCGAACATCCGTGCCGATACGTCAGTAGACTCTCGAGCACCACCCTACTCGGAACGGACTGTACACAGGAATCAGAGGAATCGCAGAGTTTATGTATTGCCAACAGCTCTACATCTGCGTCCTGATAAGATTCCCTCTAGGTCACAGACACGGAACGGTTTATGTTGCATCCGTGCATGGCTTGAGTAACACCACGCCCCACTCCCGCTTATGTTTCCCTCTCACTCTGCTAGAACTACGTCGATTTTCCGAAGAAAAATGGCTACAGGAGTGTTCACACGACAGTGGTACATCCGACCGGCATCAAAATGGAATTTCAGGTGAACGACGGCCTCCATGGCTGTTCTTCCGGGGTCTGTGAGGCCGCGTCCCACGAATCGTTGCGACTCGAGATGATCCGACAGCAGTGTGTTGCGCCTGGCCCTCACAAAGTTGTCAGGCACGTCTGGTGATGTTGTTTAAACGATGCGTTCTATTTCCTGCTAACATGCTTGCGCACTCTTTTCTCGCAAGGTTTTGGGAGGTGGCCACATACAGGCCCAGGGGGTCGAAGATTGACCAACCTCACGAAGTATGTTGTTGACAATATATTTGCCGGGATGGTTAAGGCGCAAAGAGTCAACTGCTAACCAACACGCTCGTTACCCGCTCATTCCTGTGCAATATGCAGGTGCGCACAGCGTTGATGCACGTCGAAGCCGAGGGGGGTTCGGCGTCTCACTCTCTTTACAAGGGGGACTTGGACAACCCCGAGGAGGCTTCTCTCTTCCGCTCTAGGATGACTCCGAACACATTGTCCCCGGCGCACCGCCAACTCCCATCCAAGAGCACAAGCGGTGAGGTGGCCACCGCGCTCCAGCCGACCGCTGATGGTGGGTCATCTGCCACAAACGTTTCTGAGAAGGCGCTTACGGCTGCTGCTGTGCCGTTGCTTGGATCGAAACGACTTCGAAAGCTGAGCGCGAAGAGCAGCGGGGGGGGTGTTACGCCGGTATCGGACCTCGAAATGAGCGACCGATGCCCCGAGCCTTGATAGGTCCCCTGTCTGACTTGTATTTAATAGAGCTGACTAATTTTATGGATTAGGCCATTTGTTACGATGTCTTTTTTTAGGCTGTATTTTTTTCAAAAAATGACAACTGGCCAAATAGCCCCGTGTTACAACGTCTTTTTTTGCTAAATATGACAAGGAAAAAATGACGAACCTTTTTTGACAGCCTGTAACACGGGGCTATTTGGCCAGTTGTCATTTTTTGAAAAAAAGACAACCTAAAAAAAGACCACGTAACAAGTGGCCTTAGATTTGTCAAGGGCAGTGTCTACATGGGAAGGGAAAGAGGCGTGAGGCCTTGGCAAGATAGATGCCGGTATAGAAACCTGTATTTTGTAGCCGTTGGACTTGATGTTATGACATCGCCTTGAGGAATCTGTGTGTGTGTGTGGGGGGTGTTCGTTGTATTTGAGCTACCACCAGCGGTTCACCTTGCCTGTGAATTGAGGTGCGGGTATAAGCTAGTCCAGAGATCTTACGAAAACGACGGTTATTTTGTGTTGGAACAGAAAATGCGCTTCTAGACGCCTTTTTTACGTCGCATTGGTGGTTTTTATTGTCAACATGATGCTGAAAAGGACGTTACCTCCTATTTAGGCGGTCCTGGACAGGATGTGCCGAAGTTGTGCTGTAGGATACTGGATGTTGGCCAGCAACCGAGGTTGATCCGAAATAAACGTAGTGGTATCACACATAATCGCGTCCATTTTCTGCCGAATCGGTGTGCGTTGTTGACGAACCACATTTAAGTTGATTTGCGGTTAGATGCCAAATGCTTGGTGTAAAAAGGGTAAAGGCTGTGAGGCTTCCACCTGTTAGTCGTTTTTGCACGAGGATTTTCTTCCCGAAATAGAATGTAGGGTTCTACAGAGAACGCCAGCACAGTATCATTTGCAGAGGTGGCTACTAAGTGAAATATATCGAGAGATATCGCCGGGTGACAAGAAAACCAGAGAGCCCCCTCCCACCCCCTCCCCGCTATCCATGTTCAGATTTTTCCAGATTATTTTTTCATCTTCATTTGAGAATGCCTGACGCACACGTTGGAGTGGAACCATTTTCTTGTGGCAGCCTAAAGAGCGCTGATACCCCTCTGGATTACTGCTGGAACTGTTGCTTTTGCTGTCCTTTACTTCTCTGTGGACTACACAATGCGGCCTCGGAGGAGGCAAACCAAACGAATATCCATATCCAATATCCAATATTCTAGTTAGTGTGGAATACGCGGAAGAGACGTCAACCGCAAGGTCTACACTTCCGTGTCACGGAGCCCCCGCTCAGCTCCTGTGACAGAGCGCGGAGCACTGCACACAACAAACGGAAGCTGCGCTGCATGATGGACGGAAGCCAACCTCCCATCTCGGGCAAGCGAAAGGATGTGGATGGTGCCCTGCTGGAAGATGGATCGGGGTCACAGAAGAGGTTGAAGCGGTTTTTAACGCAAGAATCAGATCTGAAGGTGGGATTCAACGAGTACGGCGGTTATGACAAGCTCATCGAAGCCTCCATCAATTTGTACGCTCTAAATGCTCAACGGTAGTGAGCAGCAAGCTGAACACACGGTGTGTTTTTTGTTTTCAGCGAGTCTCCTTCTTCCTAGGTACGGGGCCGCTTGTCCGATGTTTGGAAAATGACAGGGTGCTAGACTGCAACAGCGGTACCACTATAGCTATCTACAACACTCAGTCTGCAAGAACATCCTCTGCTGATGTCGAACAGACGACCCGCCCCTGGGTGCGCGGCAGTGCACAACGGCTGATCGCCACTGCAGCACGAGCGCTCCTCGGAGTGACAATGTTCGGCTCGTTGTGAGCGGCATCAGTAGGATGTAGTGTCAACAGCAGAGCTCATCCCCTCGTTTTTCAGGAGTGGCCGAATAGGTTTTTGCATCCCAATGGTTCAAGAGGGACCAGGTGGAAAGGTTACCCACCCACGGCATAGGGCACATCCTGTAGGTGAACAAACGGAGAACACTACAAAGAAAGACTGCTTACACACAGCCATCCTAGGAGTACGTTCCCATACCCGACACATCAAGCGTCAACTGCTTCAGTTAAGTAATGGGGTCACGGGCTGCCTATGTTGGTTAGTGCCGACCGATATAGAGGTGTGCGGCTTGTACCCAACGGCGCTGCATTCCCGAGGAAAGCGCCCAAAATAGGGTACAACTCAAAGAGAAGCGTCGAAATATAGGGTTCGAAGCCGAAGCCGGGGCCATCATGTACGAAGAGTCCGGGAGTGAGTAGTCACGAGTGGGCACGGCCGCTTGTGGTCATCAACCCAAGAATTGTACAAAGGGTGTAGCCGGGAGAAATTGATCTGTCCACCACCGCGGAGTCGGTGAGCGGTGTGTCAACACCGGTGTGCAACAACTGTTGCGGTAGCCCGCCTACTGCTGCAACCACCGACTTGCTGCCGCCGCCAAGCGAAGTTCGACTAAGCAACGGCAGGGCCCGTTTCACGTGATCGCGCACGCCACACCGTACAATACCTCCTCACTAACGGCTTGACGTCCCCCGCCTTCGCCTGCTGCTGTTCTCGCTGGATCCCTGCTGGTGTACTTTGCGTGCTGGTCGAAGGTGTACGAAGCTAACATTCATGACATGATGAAGCAAATGCCAGCGCAGCGGGAGAGGCGGAAGAGAGATTTTGAGAGTGTGCTCACGCTGTTCGCCAGTGACAGCCTTGCCAAGGACAGAAGAAACAAGGTCGGCTCAGCTAGCTCACGTCACGATTGTTTTGCGCCAAACACAACCAGACTACAGCTATGTAGAAAGCAGACATGCGCGTCCTGTGAGACGCCAAGTCATCACTACGCTCACCTTTTGCATCTGGCTATATGTATAAAGTCTATGTCTGCAGTATTTGGAGCATTGCGACCAAAGCGATCACCTGTCTGGAGGAGCGACCCTCCCCCCGACAACGGCAACGATTTGTGGTGGTTTTTACCAAACCTGACGTGCGTCGTTCCGCGTGCGCTGCTTGCATACTGAAGGCATTCGCATGAAGCGGTACCTGTCAACCATGTTTTTTTGCTTGCCTTTGGCAAAACTTACTCTTAGCATGGGGCGGCGTGAACGCATCCTGTCAATCATCAGGTGTTCGAGTACTTCAACAAGGCAGTGACGAAGGCGAATTGTTTCCAGGTCAAGGAGGTCTACATCGTCAGCCAGGACCTTCTGGCTGTGCTGGACGGTAAGTCAGGATTGTGTCGGTGCAATCGAGAAAGAGAAAGACAAGAATGAAGAGTAGGCAATGATAAGAGAAGATAGAGACAAAGAGATTAAGAGAGACGGTAAAAGAGAGCACACAATGGAGGGTACACACTACAGAGTCGCACTTGTTCACAAAAACCACCTCCGGCGATATGAAGTTATTGATTTAGACAAACTACAGGAAGAATATCGCCGGGTCTCGTCTGAAAGCGCTTCACCTGCATGCCCAAACCGAATAAGATACCATTCTTTGGTGCTGGTGGGTCCAGCACTCTTTCCTACAGTCGCTCATGCTCTCTTGCGATTTCGATGGGTGCTCAGTACCCTACGCTAAAGTTGTCCTTGCACGTATGCATATTGGGTTTTGTGTTTCTAACGCTCTATTTGCAAAGTCACACTCCTTGACCGTGGCCTGTCTTCCGCATGTCGGTTGTACCACATGCTACAGAGGCGAGGGAGACCCTGGAGCTGTTGGTGAACTGGTGCGACTTGTGTTTACCAGGTGTGCATGGCGTCACTGTGTCGATGCGAGTACAATTCGTAGGAGTCGGGGATGCGTTCGTTGCTACGCTGTAACGTTGCCATTCACTCATGATGTCCACTTATTATAGCATCGCGCGAGACCAAGATCAACGGTACTTCTGCAATAAGCGTCATAACTTGACAGCACCTGGTCCATCATCGTTAGGCTTAGTCAAAGGGCGATTAAATGTGTCGGCTGTGCGACCGACGCCGAGCCCCCGAAAATCGGCAAAAGTACATACGAACGAAATCACCTCGGGATGGCCCAAAGTGCGATAAGTTTGAGCAAATTCAACCATGTGTATATCTCGATTTCTCCGAGAAGTGTTGGAGTTCTCGAGATGCAGTCGAAGTGCGTCAATCGAATGGGGAGATTGTTTGCGAAACGCAGCCAAGCCTCAACCACCCCCCCCGCCCCCTCCGCCGGTCACTGTTCCCCCCTTCTCTCATGTACCTCCACCAGCCAACGAGCAAGCATTCGCAGAAGCACACCGCATTAAGATCCAGCACTTCCAGGTGACGATTCTGTTTTTATTTATCCTAGAATAGGGTACGTACAACAGACCAAGAGCCCTCCTTGTTCCAGCATCCGAAAAGCACTGATATCGTCCGTCTTCGGTCTCGCTCGGTACCTGCATTTCATCTCGAACGTGGCTGGAACGCGCCCTCCGAGACGCGCCCTCGGTTCCAAGTGCAACACACTGTGGCGCTCGCCCACAAACTACGGATGTTTGTGTCTTGGTTTCGGTGCTGTGAACCCCGCTAGCAAATACAACGTCTGGAGGGACAAGCAGCGCTTCCTTTGAACTCCCCCCACACGACATTTGCACCGCTCACACTTCCCCGACGTTGTTGTTCCGATCGGCCTGTTCAGGATTACTTGAGCGCCGGGTTGTCCTCTGTGGTCTCGGAAACTGCCGAGATCAACGCGCAGCTGGACAAGCGAGCACAGACGCTGCGGTCCCTTTTCAGCACAAAAGACGTTCTTCCTGAGAACCAAGAGGTACGTATGGCACGAATTCCACGACTGCTCCCGCACCCTGACAACTCCGGTTGTCACTCGGAAGACCTCGGCACCTCTTGTCATTTCCCGCTCGCTTGGCAAGCCCGACGACTTTTGCTCGCCGTGTCTGTGTTGCATTCATGTTGGAGTCGCGCGGGTCCTGTATCGTTCATTACTGCTTCTGACACGACGTTGAACCGTTCCCGGCCCGTTGTGATTTGACAGGGCTGGTATCGGTTGCACCGCGAGATGCTCGTTCACCACGAGGTTAACGCCTATTTATCGGCCGCCACGAGCTGGGAAAAACTGCTGGAGGTGAGACTTGGCAGTGGCGTCCATTTCTTCCTGCGGCACTTTCAAACCCCGCGCAGGTGCATGCAAAGCAGCCCGGCCGGATGCCACACGGTGCTAAATGTGGTAGCTTAATTCTGGGCGGGAAGTGTTTCATTCGGAACACCGTGCGTTGTGTAAGATACCACACCCCGTGGACCGATTTGCAACGCTGGATTAGTCGGCAATGAAAGAAGTGACTGCCCAAAATGGTGGAGTTGGAACCGATCCGTCGAGAGCTTGCCGAACACGTATCGTTTGCCTTCGGCATCCTCTTGGTCTTTGGAGTAATCGAGGTTTGAAAATCGGTCCAGGGGGGTTGATATCTTGCGCAACCTACGGCACTGCTGCCACACTAAGCATCTGTCGTCCCGGCCCTGTTGCGTGGAGTACACCCCCCCCCCCCCCCCCG